TGTGAAAGATTCAGTCGGTGAGGAGCCAAAGCTTGAAACGTCCGGCAGCTTTAGCGTCTCTTTACATGGGTTAATTTTCATTATCAACTCAGTCAATAAAACCAAATTATTTTGCTACATCCCTACCGACGGAACACCACAGTTTCTTTAGAAACGCGAACTAATAATTTTTTGCGTATCGGAAAACGTATCAATGCAAAATTAAACAGGAAATGCTGAACATTTGAATGATTTGACACTTTATGTTTGAATTACGAGACCATTTGCGAAAATTGGATTAGAAATATTTTCTTTTTTGTTCTTCGTTTGCAATAAAGTAGTTATAAAGTAGACAAGGTAAACGGTAGTTTTTCTCCACCAAATGGCATCCTTTTACCTCAAGAAGAAAAAGCGGTCAATTTTTTCGCATCTAAAACTTAAAACTCAGCGAGAAAAGTTTAAACGTTGTTTACGCTAAAGTTCGATCGAATACGAATCATCTGTTAAGTCAAAAAACTTATTTCGGACAAAAATCTTGTTGTTATTTTAGAGCGATTGCGGAGGTCTTTCGAAAAATAAACATTTGGTCAAAACACAATAACTACAATGTAACAGGAAGCGCATCCGTTGACCAGTGCTATTATAAATATATTCGAAATAAAACGGGAAAAACTTAGTTCTAATGACATTGTACTGTTGACACAAATGTCACTATCGTTTTACGAATTAACTCCACTTCCTCAAGATTGTTTTTAATTAATTATATTGTTTTATCTTTGGGAATTTCGATACACAATGATTTTTGTAAAATATTAAGGGCGTAATTCCTTGGGTTATTTTTTCCAACTGACCTTTTTTCATAACCTGGCTGTTTTGACGCGCGAAAGAAAGGTCTCACCGGGATGATGGCTGTTGAGGCTGAAGGTTAACATTTTGACGAATTTTAGGCTTATGGAAACATCTTTCAATTGTTGTCAACTGAATTTTTTTGTCGCTAACTTTTTTAACGGCCAACAGTTACAATTTTTCAATTTTTACGCCTTACGGCTAAATTTTTGTGGCTGTTTTACGGCTAACTCCGTTAAGCCCCTCCAGAAACATATCCCCTGTGTACCGTGTACGTATGAAAAATTTACATAAGGTTAATCAATGTATTCAAATATGCTCTTCCAGAAAAACGTAAACATAATTGCTAATCGAAGTTTTCTCAGCGAATATCAAATGAAATTTTTGCTTGCGGTTCACTTTTCTTGGGAATAAAAAGTATCTCATTTGCGTTTCATCGTAAGGCCAAAAATCGCGTCTCTGTTTTCATATTTTTAGATGTCAAGAATTGTCAGTTGCTATTTTAGCATAGCTCTAGTCAAGATTTACGATTGCCAAGTACTGACGTATTAACATCCGCTTCAAAACTTGTAGCGACGCGATTTCTGCATCTGCAAAATCGATAAAATTAAGCTTTATAAATCCTTCCTCGACTAAGAGTTGTTATTCCATAACTGTTCGATTACGAAGGTTGATCGAAGAAAGATGAAGTCCATTTTGCTGTGCTTGTACCTATTTGCGCTTGGTTTGTTGGCTGCGGACATTCCAACCGAAATGAACAGCGACAGTGTCCAAGACGCGAGCACAAAATCAAACGGCAAGGAAAGTTTTGATCCCGCTTCGGGTAATTCCATAATCACAAAAAGAGCAGCTTCGAAGCGTAAGTAGATCATCAGCTGTAATTGCTTTTGTCTTGCGACATCTACTGAATTTTTTTCTGTAACTTTTCAAATCAGAATCTGTTAAAAATTTGAAATTTTACTTTTTCTAGGGAGAATTTATAAGAGCCTTACATTTTTTCCATTGAATCACCATCAGCTAAACAGTCATGAAAAACGTGCCATGAACTTGAAGTTTTGAATTTGCGAGAACGAAATGTAGCTGAAGATGCTATCTCTAAAACAAGAAGAGTGAAATGGTCAAATTTGAATTGTTATAGAGAGTCGGAGCAAGTGAATATTTTATAATTCAACCATCGTCATAACCTATTTTAATATCTGGCGCTTTTTTTTTTTTTTAATCCACAGACGGTTTCTACCGACTGAACTTCTCCCCGGTGTGTTTTAGCGCAAAGGGAAACCTCTTTGGCACTGTTACGATGCCATTCGCTGGTAGGCTGGCTGCGATGAAATTGGTTCACCGTTACGGCTACGTCACCTGCATTAAGAGCAACCCTATTTACTGGTCTCACTGGGGTTGTGGTCATTTAAAAGACTATGTTAACGTTGTCGTAACAACATCACTTAACAGAATCCTTCTGCCACCAAACCAGTTCCTCAAGTTTAATTATCAAGCGGGAAAGTGGTCTAAAGTTCCCGGATACGGCGCGAATTCCCCAGAGCTCATTCTGTCGTTCTTCCGTCCTCGTTATGTTTACCGGGGACATCAGCTCCGTGTGTGGTATGGCGAAGACTTGATGAATTGGACCGAAGGAGATAACGCTGGAAGGGTCTGCTTTGATGTCTATGCCAGCTACGTCTGAACAGTTTTACACTACCTCCGTGCAAGAACTGATTTTTTGCTAGCTTGCTATCATTGCTTTTAAAGGCTTGACTAGTTTGATTAGGAAAAGTTAAATAAGCTGCGCATACTGCCTCAAATAAACCAGGGGAATTTGATAATTACAACAGCTGTCTGTTTTCATCTCCATTGCAGTCTTAACCTCTACTGTTCACCGGACCCTCTCGTTACCAAACTTAATTGATACCAAGTTCTAAATGTTAGAAACTTTGGACTCCAAAACCATAGTAAATAATCCATTCACGTAATGAACGCCAAACCAAATAAACAAAAACACCCTCCCTGAAAATGTGGTCTTGTGAGTTCAGTTTTTTTTCTAAGAGACAAATAACTACATGAAAAGGGAGGGGCCCTTTAACCCCAAAATTTCCGGATCAAACAACCAACTCCCTTCCCTGGGAAATTAGATTTTGTTCGCGTCGATCAGTTCGAAGCTTCAACATCCTCCCGAGAATTTGAAGTTTTAAAGATTGGTTTGATTTAAATTCCGCCCCTCGGGGCCAATGCAATGCCAGAAATGTTGTAACCGCGCGAAGAGTGGGACGAGAGTTCGCGCGTTTACCGCGCGCGCAATAAACATGACTCTTCGTCGCAAAATGAATCTTTATGACGTAACGTATTACGCGAGCTGTAAACAAAATGTGACAACCAAAATGTCACTATCAAGCACACTGTCCCTGTTATTCGGCGAATTAGAGTCGTGGGTCGTGATAACTCTTGGCTTTGTGCATATTTTAATAGTTTCCCTCATAGTTTTGCACAGAGACAAATTGACAGAGAATGCAAAGCCTACGCCGCAGATAGTAGTGACAGCTCCGTCAACTGATCCATCAATTAATGAAAATATTGTGAAGGTAAAAGAAAAAAGTTTGTATTTAATGTTGTATTCCGTGAAAGGTTTTTCGAAGGGTGCCGAGGAGTACTTTTTAGAGACATTACTCGCAAAACTGGAAAAATACATATTTCATGATGGACGGAAGAGCGGTTGTTTAGAGTTTATACGTAATTGGATAAACTGCAACAAAAAAAATATGAATAATCTTCGCGAGCATAGGACGTCCAAAAATTAAGAGTCCACCAAGAAGACTTGCACCTCAGTCCTTTCAGACAAACACCTTAAGAGCAAATTGCTTCTAGTTATTCCTGTGAATACTAATGTGATTCGCCTCAGTACTATTCACGCGTGATAGTTACTTAAGTCAGGGACAATGATTAACGTATCCACAACCGTATCGGTCGGCCAGTTCATTGCGGATGTCTCTTGAAAGAGGGCCAGCATAAGTTCCTCGAACACCAAATTTTCTGAATCAGTTTGCTTGACACGTAACTAGAAACTGCGTAATTTCGCGCACAAATAATTAAAATTACTCATACCGCTGTAAAAGCTAACAGAACACTAGAGGTCATCATACACTGCTGTTTTTCCCTATAGGAAGAAAACAGCTCTTCAGACAGTGACATTGAAACGGAACCAGTCACTGCCTACTGCAGCAACGGATGTCAGGGCGCATGCGCTTGTCCAGCCTTGGAATCCCCTCTGGACATCCAAAGGAAAAGTGATCCCACATTGACGCCGCTCTCTTCTGAGCCTCCCACTCCACCTGGTGAACGAACACTCGAGCCTCTTCTACAATCAGAAAGTCGGAGCATGCGCAAATTTAGGCAGAAAAGCACAGATGAAAAATTAGCTATCCAGTACTTCAAAGAGAAATCCCAAAGGGAGTCATTTGACGCCGGAAGTGCGGAAACAGGAGGTGAATTAGACACGGGTGAACGAAGGAAAAGTGAAAGTAAAGATGGCTACAAAGGCAAAGCAGCCAGCCGGAGCATGCCTATCTTCCGAAAGAAAAGCACGGATGAAAACAAATCAGTTTCATATGTTGTACATAAACTGCACCGGAAATCAGATGACGTGGTAGGTAGACGAAGAGATAGTGAATTCACCACAAGTGAGCGCAGAGGAAGTGAAGGGGAAAAAAGCACAAACAAGGGACGCAAGGACAGTTGGGCTTCAGATAAATCCCGCCGAAAGTCACTTGACACCGGAAGCTTACAATCAGGAAGTGAACTTGACGGAAGCGACCGCAGAGGAAGTGAAGGGAAAAAAAGCACAAACAAGGGACGCAAGGACAGTTGGGCTTCAGATAAGTCCCGCCGAAAGTCACTTGACACCGGAAGCGTACAATCAGGAAGTGAAATTGACGGAAGTGAACGCAGAGGAAGTGAGGGGTCTGAAAACTACAAAACAGAGCGCAAGATGAGTCGATTTCAGAAATGGCGAAGACGTTTGTCTGGAGCCAAGAAAGAAGGAAATAAAAATAAAGAGGACACCAGCATTGAAGTCACTCAAAGAAGCTCCAAACATGACAGAGATTCTTCACAGGCACTGCAAGAAAATATCACCTCTGAGAATGAAACGAATAGTGAACAGGTTACAGGCACTGAGTAAGAAAATCTGACGGCCTAGATACGCTCTTTTATTAGGCGAAATTTATTTTCATATCTGCGATTCTATCTAATTGAAAAAACAAAGTTAACAAAGGTTTGTCTTTAAGTTATTTATTTTTAAAGTCAAGTCAGTCATTATGTCAATAACTTCGAGTTATTCTTAATGTTCTATGGCGTATGAAAATATTGTGAAAACAAAAAAGGACATTTTTTCCCGTCTTCCTTTACCTCACCTAGGTATTTCAGTTTTTCCTCAGCTCTTTGGTCGATATTTTCAATAGGGGATATTTCTTCTGCATATTTTCATCGTTCTAAATTTAAATAAATATCTTTAATTGTTACAGCAAAACTTGTAATCTAAGAGAGCTTTTCTCAAAATAAAATTTGAACACTACATGAGCCATTGAAGATTTACAAGGCACTTAGCCTTTTGTCTTTAAAATCTAAAAATGTCAGTTCTTCCAAATAACAAAATATGGCTCCAAATTTTCATGAAGCATCGACCAGGAATTGTTTCGTTACAGCCGAAAGTGTCTCTGATGATCTACATTTCTTGCTAAACAGAAGCACAGCAACATGGAATCTAAGCGAGTTCGTTCCTCCATCGTTATGCGCAAATCTAGACGTACTAATTCAGGTTTAGATACGTCCACCAATTAATGGGAATCATCAGGTATTCTTTACAGAACAAGCCAAAGCTACCCAAGAAATTTGCATCGTTCAAGAACATAACCACCATGGCAAGAAGGGTACGAATCTCAGCTGCAGTTTGGGAGGGACATTCGAGAACCGTTTACAAATTCTTCTCCTTTACTCAGCTCCCTAAATGAAATTTCTCCTTGGAAGTCTTGTTGTGTTTTAAATCGGAGGGGTAAAGTTACCCGGGATCTGCTAGGTCACTCTGACCAAAGTACCTGAGAAACAAGAAAATAATGGTGACCACAAACAAAATGCTTAGGTAAACAACCTAAAACAGTGAGCCGTCCTTGAAACTAGATCACATCCAATTTTAAGTCTCTTCTTGTATTCTTTTTTTCTCACCATCATGTTTTCACCAGCAGCATAGCTCCATTTTCTGCAGATGAACACACACACACAACCCACAATTCCTCCATTCGCTCTGACGAAGGGCTAACGCTTGAAACGTCAGCTTTGTAACTCTTCACGGCGGCTAATTAACGTCATCAAGTCAGTTGATAATACTAAATTGCCCTTTTTATACTCTCCAACCGACGCAGCACCACAGTTTACTTAGAAATTTATCCCCTGTATTCAAAAGTCTCTTTTACCTTCGACTGCGTTACGTGAACAAGTTGTATGATAAATTGCCGACGAAAACTCCGGAGACGTTTTAAGTGTTTTTTGTCGAGGTAGGGTTTGAAATTGTTTATTTCTCCAATGGAAAGTAATGACCGGCTTCTCATTCACCTGAGCCGTTGTTTTAAACCACCCGGCACCTCCTATAATATCCACACATGACCCAGCAAACAGCTACTAAGAATACTCAAACTTATCAGGTAGGAGTTGTTATCTTGACCTAACACCAAATTTTCGTAACTTATTTACAGGGAAATACGTAGCAGCTAAAGGGGAGGATTAAAAATCAGATCTTGGGTGTTAAGGGATCAATGAAAGCACAAAACAAGCGACAGCTCTTGATGTTAATCCTTTAACTGTAATGTTGGCGCATAAGCGTAAACTTCGTGAACAAATAAACATCATCAGCGACATACCTTGAGACAAGTGTGATCATTAGATTCAGTGGCGTTACCAATGGATGATAAGGTGACTCCTAGAAAGAAAAATAAAGAAAAAAAACGAGAAAAGTCTTACTATCATTTCCTAGCTTCCCGCCTTTCAAACAGCTCAGAACTGATTTTTTTACCTATTCAGTCAAACTTGTCAGATCAGCGAAAGGCGTTTGATCCGCGCTCTCTTAACCCTTTCACTCCCATGATCTCATTAGAAATTCTCCTTGCTGTATACCATACGATTCTTGTGATGTTACTTGGGAGAATTTGGTATTAGATCAACTAATAATCCCCTAATTGATATTTTTCTTTATTCTTATCACTTGTCTGCTTGATGTTGTATTGATATTGTCAGGAGAAATTCTGCCTTGGTCACAGGAGCTAAATGGTTAATGCATCCATCGCCTTTGCTTGAGTTTGCATTGCTTTTTTTGAGCTTGCAATATGAAAGAATTGAAATGCTCGTATAGAGAGAAAAGCCCAGGATATTTGCTTGTATAAAATATTGTTTCTATCACACAGTGCATAAAGTGTGCATGTTCGCTGATGAGAACAGTAAAATTTCATGGGAATCAAGTTGTATCAAGTCTTGACTCCACAAAAGCTTCCTTTTTATTTACAAGCCTACGTGTACGATTCACTCTCAAACTTCCTAATCTTAAGCCAACTGTTTTCTCCGCTTATGTGAAATGAAAAAACACCTTAGCAGTTTAAGGAAATCTTGGCACAGCAGTCGATTCCTCCTGGCATTCTAAGCCAGTCATCGTTCCGTAGTATGACAGATCGATCGAAGGACGCGAAGACTTTGAACACAAACGCAAATCACACCGTTCGCTCTCTTAAAGTCTTATTCAATCGGCCATGTTTGATTGTGAGTTAGACCGTCGCTCATCCCCTCGCTACAAATTTTACAAAAATTATTCAGTGCTCATATTCAAAGCCAAAAAAACTCGGCGCTTATTTCACAATTTTATCGTTCAATTTGCTCGCGAAATTAATGAGTTTGTCAAGATGAATCGACAAACTCGCTTATCAGCCTTAATTTTGATTTTGGCGTGAATTTCTTCGCTAGCATTATTTTAGTCTAAGAGTTGATCACTCAAAACAAAAGGGCTTTTGAATTATAGTTCTTTCAATTCGCTTCCAAGGTCAGTGCTAACGAGTCCATGCGTCAAACAACGTCGACCTTAAAGATTGGGAGAAAACATCAGGCATGTGATCTACAACAGCATGTTACTCTGATGAACCAACAAATTCTCCCCACTTTGAACAGCAATATCTCGTGGTCAACCTCATGAGATAGGCGCAAGAGGTTATGACGTCAGTCTTGACTGTTGCCATGGAAACCACCTTGCATCGAAAAAAGTGAAGAAAACAGACTTCTCAAAAAGCAAAGGGTTCCACATAAAAATATTCACCAGTTTTGAATTATGCAACAAACAGAAACTTTCCCTCGGAAATTCCTCAAATCATCCCTGATAGATCCAATTTTGAAAAAAAATTTAAATCAACAGAAGTTGACATAAATTCATTTAATAGCAAATTTATCATACAAGGCAAAGAGAGCAATGCATAAATTTCACAAAATCGCTATTCCTAACTGACATAAACGTAATAAGAATACATTTACGAAATAATTTTCATTTTTTTTTTCATTTTTGCTCGTTTGGTTTTTTTTACATGCGTATCTACAAGAAGTGAAAGAATACTGTTACAGTGGAACTAACGCTAACGGGTTATTAAAGGAATACGAGATTATTTGCGCATTTTGATAAAGAGAAAACGAAAAAGCCTGCCATGTTTATTGCCCGAAAAACCCAAATCCCACGATCTCGCTTAATTTCGAACGACACTCGGTTAGTGACACCTGAGGGTAGTTTAGCCAATATATCGATTGGATTACCTTTCTCAAAGCATCTTTCATTTCTCTTTTTAGATTGCTCTTTATACCAGACACCTTGCAAGGTAACTTTCCCAAGGATTTTCCGGCATCTTTGCGAAAATTTCCATATGTGATTGTCGACATTCTAAGCCCTGAACGGTTCCAACGACTCACTGTGGAAATTGGTTGTATTAAGTTGTGTAACACTTAAGTCGCGTCTGAGTTTCCCCGATAACAGAAATCGCAACATACTAATCAGCACTTGAAATTTTTGAGGTGACATTAGAGCAAACCAAAAGAAAAAAAGAACGAGATAAGCATGAATTTAAAAAAGGAGAAATTAAGCCAAAGGGAAAGTCAGTTTGTTCTTGCAATGTGCCATTTGATGACTATTTTGGTATTAAAAAAGGACAGCGAAATATTAAATTAATTTTTATGATACAAAGTGATATAAATGGTGCAGCAATGTTAGTCAGAGCAGTTCTTCATTTTGCCTTCTCCTTTCGTGCAAGATGGAGAAAAAATCCAGTGGTTTGAGAATGTCCTCGTACAACAGAGCAAGTTCCTCATTGCTGAGCTTTTTCGCATTCTCAGTCAGTCGACCGTCGCCTTCCATGACGGCAGGATCAATGCACGGACAAGGAGCGCTTTGAATACGATCTCGTCGCTCGACGACTTGAGGCGCGCTTGCCGTTGGCAGGCTCGTTAACCGCCCGCGGTTTTTGATGCGTTTTATCATTTGCACCTGCAGTACGGTATTGAACCTTAGCCTCCTTCCATTTGCGTTGCTCTTGATTGAGTCAGTATCCTTGGCAGCGAGATTACGGAGAGTGTTCCATTTGTCTAACTGTTGAATTTCTCGCATGATTGACGACAAGTTAGGAAAATCCTCGACATGTAAAATCAAACTCATTTGGAAGCACGTATCACGTTTCTTCCTTGGATGGTAACTCTAACAGCGAGCACAAAACACGACGAAACGTGAGTAGCCTTAGCTTATGTAATCACTGCCTAAACTCTCGCTTTTAGGGTAAATGATCCCCTTGCAAACGCACACCACTAAAATGTATTCTCCTCTATCTGGCGCAACACCTTGGTGACGAGATTTTGAGAACAAACCAGTAAGAAGTATTGGTTTTATTTCGATGGAGCGAAAAATTCTCACAACTCTACCACTTTTAGAGAAGACCATTTGGTCCGTAAAACATAAAAACCTGTTGAACCGGATCAAAAAACAGGTTATGTTGCGTCGGCAACAAAAGAGACAAGAACAATGCAAAAGCCTTCGATTGGCGCACACGACTGATAATATTTTACCACAAGATTACTCAGTAAAGGGGCGGGTTTTTCGCGAACTTCAAAACAAACGGCCAATAGACCGTTTTAGCTATGTGGTCAAGTGGTTTGAAATGGGTAAGCAAGAATTCAAAATGGCTGCTCAAGTACGTGCTTCAGACGACATTTTATAGAGGAAATAGCTTCTTCTCCTGCCAAAATTTCCATATTCACGGATAAATCGGCACTCTAAGACTGTGGTAATATAGAAATCGGCGACAAAAGAAATTGATAGAAATAAGAGAGATGGTAAATTTTGAGCTCGGCAAAGAAATAGAGAAGATGTTTGTCGTCTTGTCACCAGCGTGGGACTAAGAAAAAGTTCTGAGTCTCCACGAGACCTTTGGATTCCGCACTCCGATGCTTTACCACTGAGCCACAGAGACTCCACGGTGAGCGAGGTCTATTACGAAGTTCATATAACACGTGTCCTGCATACTACTAGGATTAGCAATGTCAATAGCGTAATGTTTGTAGATAGAAATAGGAGAGATGGTAAATTTTCAGCGCGGTAAAGAAATAAAGATGTTTTTCCTCTAAAGGAAATGGAGTTTGTAAGTGAGATTACAAAACACCACGAGCCGGAAAAAACAATTTTTTGAGCGTACGATCTTCATAGATCGCAAAAAACAAAACAAACAAACAAACAAACAAACAAAAAAACCTGAAATGGGTACTAGAAAGAAGCAAATTTATCGCAAAAAGTACTTCACGATGATTTTGTGATTTAAAGTTAGAATGAAGCTATATTTTGTTGAAAACTGTAAATTCTCTTTTTTGTTTCGTGTTGATTGTACACTCTGGTTACACGAATCGTATGTCAATCACTTGGTTAACGCTTTCTCAAAGTACGGGGCCTTGAATGTTGGCACTTTGGAAATTGCGTGTGGTCCTGCCGATCATGGTTCTTAAATAACTACATGACCGGCAGTCGCAAATTTTTATGATAAATTTTCAGAAATGAGAGTACATATAAATCTAAAATACTAACTTTTTCTAGAGAGGGGGTGAAGGGGGAGAGGTCATTTTGTGGTGTTTGTTATTCTGTGTTTTTTTCTTCCTCGCTTTGTTGTTGAGGATCAGTTGAAGGCGACCGACGCTGCATGACCAAGGTTATGACTGGAGACAACATTTTATAGCAGTCATCTAGCGAGAGCGGAAAAGTAGCCGAAAACAATATTAAGTGTCGAGAGATTTCAAGTAAGGTGTCGAAAGTAATTGAAAATTTTAATGAATTTTCTTTCCATTTTTACATTCTGTGATTGGTCTGAAAATTGCCTGCTACCATCGAAAAAAACAGTTACCTACTCATTGCGTTTTCCCGCGCTTGAAGAAGATTGCGCGTCGTTGTTCTGAATTCTAATTGGTTACTGAACATATATCTTTACCCTGATTCGTTTTCGTAAGTACTTTAGATTTGGTTTTGCGCCAGTCAGTCATGATAAGTTCGCTGATTAGCGTTAAGCATCGTACCTTGAATTTTAATAGATCATAAATACATACCAAAGACGCTCTCAGGGTTGCGCAGAGTCTGGCGAGAGTGCGAAGTAGTGAGGTGGTTTCTGGTAAAAGTGGCTTCTCCAGACAAACAAGAAGAGCATAAAACCACTTCCCCTTTAAAAAATAAATGCACGTGTAAGAATTATTTCAAGATGCAGAGTAAGGATTTGGAGGGAAGATTCTGAAATTACGTAGATTTGCCATATCGGACAGTTCGCTGACGAAAAATCGCATTTAGCACGAGATAAATAAATGTTTCAAGAAGAGGATAAAAATGTACATCTTAGTAGTGGACGCACGTTTCTCTGACCGTGGCAATAAAATACACTGAAAAACAGTATATTTTCTAAACTACAGGCACATCGTTGGCTGTATGGCTTGATGTAAAGCGGAAAATTGAGCAAGTAGAACGGTGCTTTCGCGTGAAACGCGCAAAACCAACACATATCCAGATAGACGTTTAAAGTCCAGCCCGTCTTTATATAATCACGACTAACGACAAATTTAAATGCCGCAAATGAAATAAAAGTCCACTCATCTCCTTATTTTATGACATCGCTAATTGGACCATACCGATTGTATTAGACCAATACGTCCAAATTTTGAAGAAAAGACAACAAAATTCTAGTTTGAATAGCTTTACCTGGTCATGAGAAAATCCGATTTCTTCCAGCCATTCAACGTGGAATTCTAAAACTTGCAGCAAAGTGGCCTGTAAAGTAAATGTAATTTCGACTAAAACAAAGCAGTCTAGGAAATAGCACCTTCCAAATTGCTTGTAATTTCACAGTGGATCCGAGTTTTTCGTGATCTTTGTGGCGGACGCGTGTTTCTCTGTCCGTGGGAAGATTTGTGACGAGTCGGGAAGAGGGTTCGGTGGGGGTCTGGCACTAAAACCGAGGGCCTGCAAGGAAGCTATCGTTTTTTTGTTTTTTTATTTATTAATATTTATTTATTTATTTTATTTTTATCCCGTGTATTCTCCCACGAATGTAGCTTTCTGGTAAGTAAAAGATAACAAGTCCAGTCGTTTTGACAAAAACTAGCACCAGACTAGTGCTAGAACCCTTGTAACCTCTCAACGACTCGCGTTGCACAAGGCCTATAACTTCCCGCGAGGGAACTGGGAAGAAACGGTGGTGCCAATGCGCTAATAACAAGGACCTACTCGCAAGGACCTACTGTGTGGTTTTCTTCCCAACTGTTATTCTGGATGTCACACAACAAGAGCATTGCGTGACACCTACAGGAAAGCTGGAAAGGGATCTGAGTTCGATTAAGGTATGAAAGACGGAAGTGTGCACACACACACATACAAAACAAACAAACAAACAAAAAACAGCAAAGAAAAAGAAACATCTAAGATATGGTCAGAACTCAGTTTTCAAATCTTGCTGAGTTAGGGAGCCTCGACAAATTCATCGCTATGGCAACAAAGTCCTTAACACAAAGTTACTATTTACGATATTTGCAGCTTGACTTACTTGATTAATTTGAAGAACAACACTCAATAAAGGAGGTGTCCCGTCCTGCAACAGGATTTTGAATAATTATTTACATGCACCAGGAGTTATGCTGCACATTTTGAAATTGAACTTTGTAAATTTTATTGATTTGTCATTTGCAATTATTTGTTAGTCTTTTGCACCTTTGCCCATCATCGGCTTTTTCAGCATAAAATGATGATGATAACAGTATTTTATTTATACTAATTATTAATAATTATTATAACACTAGTAATAGCAATATTAAAATGAACAGACCTGATCGGTGCCTTGCGAATCACTACTTTCCAACAAATCTTCATCCTTAACACTTTTCTTGTTATCTTTTCTGTTCCAACAGAAACAAGGTTATTAATACAGGTATGATATGGCATCCAGTACTAACTGTTGCACAAATTCAAAATATCAATCATAGCTAAGAGTGTCTAACTAAAGCTGAATGCACATGAGGCAAATGAAGGTTTGTATTGAAGTGTGACCTGCTGCATTTTACTTTCTCCAAACAGTTCACCTTGCTGGAAGAAGACAAGCAGTCGAAACTTCATGACCAACATCAGAATTGACCACGGCAATTGAGATAACTTAAAACTATTATGTTTCTTGAAAAGTGTCTACAATTACCTGCCAAATATTTTCATAGTAGTTTGTTCTCCAAGACAAAAGTGGCACCATCCCATAGAATCAGATTTCTTTGGCTGTACAATATATAAAATAATAGAAAGCAATAACTACAGAATTGACCGACAAGTAAGAAAATTAAATGAATATCATGACTGACCTCTCCAAAAGCACAGACAGTGAAGACCAAGCGATGTGTACACCAGCTTCATGATCTAATTAGTTATTCTCCCATGTCACTGCTTAAATATTTCTTCATAAAATTGGCTGGGAGAATTTTATGTTTGATCAAGATAACAACCACAAGTCTCTAAATTCTCTTTACCTTTTTCTGAATAATCTTTTGAAATTGTGAATTGTCAAACACTTCTAGGTGTAAAAAGTTTGATGATTTTAATCAGTAAATTATGCTGTGGGTTTACCAATGTTAACTTTGTGGAATCCTCTTTTCCAAGCTTTGATCGATGATAAACAAGTTTCTGAAAAATTAGAGAGAAAAAAAGAATGTTGTGTTTAACACAACCTCAAATAGTAAAAGAGTCTCCTGTAAAATACCTTGTCAAAAATTTTTTCAAATTGAGTCTGAAGAAATGCTATAATGTTACACCAATAAATATCCATGAAAGCAAAAGTTGGAAGAAGAATGCTGATTCAAATCAGGAGGAAGATGCAAGAATGAATTTGCCAAACTCTGACTAGGAAATCATGTGCTAATGTATTACCAGGCAGGTCCTTTACTGGAACCCCAAAAGTAAACAAAAACTAGGGACACCAAAAAAAGAGAAAGCAAATGACAACAAGAACAATTATGGGATGCTGTGACAAGAATTTCACCAGGAAGGGTCTTGAGTAAATGAAATCACAGAATCAATGACTTTAAGATCAGAAAGAAAGGCAAACTATGAATGTCCTAGGCTACAACAAAGTCTGAAGTGAAGGAATAAGATGACAACAGAAGGGAACAAATCTTCTAAAATTGTGCAATGAGAAAGCTTAGTTGTAACTTATACACCATTGATTTTGCTAGTATAAGATAGCATGGGAAGTATACTTATTTTGGCCAATGAGAGGAATGTACAAGTTTAATAGTAAGCACTAACTTGTCTGATTTCGGCAAAATCTGCAGCTTGTTCCATCTGCCAATCAGTAGAGGGGGCAAATCCAGCTGGAGCTGGTGACCAACCAGATCTCTGAGGAACAGATCACAACAACCAATTACACAAGGAGCAGAATACAATTTATACACTTAATGTATGGTCCCAAGGAAAACAGTTAGTTTTATTTTCCTGAGAGCACTGACTTTGTTGTGGGAAACATCAGGACTCAAGGGAAAACAAAACTAACTAGTTTCCCAAAAGGACCATACATTTAAGTGCTTTGCTATATAATTACTTAGACTTTCCCTTGAACAATCATATTGCAAAAACAAAAAATGTGCTGTTGTATTTGGCATGTGGGCAACAACTGTGCAATTGTATCATGGTCAGGATACATTTGAATTTGATCAGGGGCATGTAATCAAGAATCAATCAATCACAGTGCTTGCTGCATTGAGTGAAAGTCTAAGTCTGTAACAATGTTTATTGTTGTCTCACAATTTCTATTAACCTATGAAAGGAGCAGAATACAATGTTTGCTGTTGTCCCACAATTTCTACAAAGTTACAAAAGGGGCTGTATACAAC